CATCTATATATTAAAATGAACTGTGGAGTTGGTCGGTGTTCTTGGCTACCATTCCTGACCCAAAAGTAGCCCTTATCCTGAACTTTAAGACGATCATTACCAGGTGTGCTTCTGCAGATTAAAAAACATTTTCTTGTAAATCTTTTGTCCAGTGCTTTAGACTAAAAGCTTATGAACTAATTATGTATCAAGGCACAACCTGAGGAACTTTGTATATTCTGGAAAAAGCCATTTCAAAAATAAGATGAGCACAGATTAAGTCATTTCACCTTGCCACAGATGATTTCCCCCTGGGACAGTGATCACTGTCCCACCCACTCAACTTGGGTGGGATGACACTGTCCATTGCTGGGAACGGATGTTCTCTAGAAAACAACAAAATGTTACCCACATGCAGGGTTCTAGCACTTTGATCGATGGGTTCCTTATGTGCCTCGCTCCTTTCCCAGAGCACAAAATTAGTTACTTGTTCTCCAAGCCGAGGGAGTAGTCTTTATTCCCACTGACCATTTCTTCCCTTCCTGGCTCTACTTCAGAAACTTTATAACCCATAGCCTGCTCAACCTTTGTCTTTCCAGATAAAGAGGCAGAATTAGTTCATTTTTTTTTTCCAAATAGGAAAAGCATTCTGTTAACCTTTTGATAATTGTTCTAAAATGATAATTTTTTTTCTAAGTCTGTTTTAGCTCTTCAGAGACACATTAGAAAAAATTGCCTGTAACCCATAGATACAAAAAACGGAACATAAGTAAAGGTTTGTTAAAATACTTGGCAGGTTAAATTACATGTAAGTGGAAAACTGAACCCAACCATATGACAATCACAATGAGGTACCATATCACACACTGAAGGACAGTTACTACTGTAACACATACAAACACACACAACACACACACAGAATAAAAAAAAAAATCAAAGTGAAAAGAGTTGATGAGGATGTGGAAAATTTTTGACACTTTTGCATAGCTAGAGATGTAAAATGGTACTATTGCTTTGGAGAACCGTAATGGGGTCCTTCAAAAACAAAACAACAATCACTCATCTTATGATTCAGTAATACACTTCTAGACAGAACTTACTTATGCAAAAGAATGGAAAGCAAGAACCTGAGATGTTTGTATGCTCATATTCAGAGCAGCATTATTCACAGGAGACAAAAGTGAAGGGGTAAACAAAATGTGGTACCTGTTGTATAAATGAGATGGAATATTAATCAGTCTTAAAAAGGAAGGAAATTCCGACACATGACATCTAGGTATACTTTGAGTACACTAGGCTGTATGAAATAAGGAAGAAACAAGAAGACAATATTATATGTACCTAGAATAGCAAGCTTCAGAGATACAGCATAGAATGGTGCTCTGTGGGGATGGGGTGAGGGTGGGGCAAGACAGAGTAATATTGTTTAATGGATGTCGAGTTTTAAGGTTTTGGGGAGAGTTATACTAGGGTTGGAATTCTTCTCATTTGCTAGGCTAATACTCTACCATTGGAGCCACACCTCCAAGCCCTTTTATGTTTACTGGTTATTTATTTATTTATCATCTTTAAGTAGTTGTACAAGGGAGTTGCCATCCAACAAAGCATTTTATTAATAGAATGTGTCTTGGTCAATGTCATTCCTTTCAACATTCTCATACCTCCCAACCCCCTCCCTCCCCTCACTTCTCATAATTTTATATTGAATTTTTTTTTTACCGCATTTCCCCCTTTTCCTCTCTTCATCTGTTACTCCCTTTGGTCACTCTGTCCCTTTCAAGGGCCTGTTTCCTGGTGTTTATTTTGTTGACCTTTGATTTAGCCTTTCTAAAGAATTACCTTGAGATCTCCCCTGAATTGACCGTATTTCACTTCATAAGCCTGTGTACATTTGCGTACCTCCTAAAGCATTTATATATTTATAAACTAATTCTAACTTCCATTGAGAGAAAGCATGCAACCTTTGTCTCCCTGGGCCTGACTGCTGGTGACAATGTCAACTCATTCAACCACTCTGGAAAGTAGTATGAAGGTTTCTCACAAAACTAAACATTGACTAAACTTCCCTACGACCCAGCAATTCCACTTCTGGGCATTTATCCAAAAGGTTACAAATGAGGATACAGAATAGTCACCAGCACAATCATGTTCATTGTTGGTTATTTTTGGAGATAAAAGTCTAGTAAACTTTTTTCCCTGGGCTGGCCTTGAACTGAAATCCTTCAATTCTCAGCCTCCTGAGTGGCTGAATTTTAGTTTTGTCTGATGTAAACTCTCTGGAGATGGGTTACAAAATGATGCAAACATATTCAACATTAACACATGGTGTACTTAGAAATGGATATGATGGTTACACATTTAAAAAACAAACTAGCCAGTATCTAGAGAAGCCAGTCTCATGAAGCATTAAAAGTATGTTATTTTAAAGGATGGGTATTAAGCAATAGCCATTGCCAGAAGCAGCACTTTGGTGTTGAGAAATGGCTTCTTTGAACTCTTGGATCATGGTTCACAGTGATTCAGTCATCTTGCTAGTGAAATAAGGACTTCATCTTACACTTCAGCAGCTCGGTTCTCCTAGAGCCTATAGAGCTGCCATGCATTTGCAGATTGTTGGAAGAGCGCTATGAATGTTTGTTGACAGACTGGTTCATGGGAGGGGTTACCAACAGAGTGAATAAGGAACAGGAGGGACCAAGAGGTGATGGTATCAGCTACTGAGAAGAAAACTGGAGCTATGAGAAGTTCCTGTTCTTAGCTTATAGCAAAAGGGAAGAGTGAGAGAGAATCAAACATGAGTACTTCATGTGTCCTTGCTCTATAAGTGAGCTAAGACATGCAAACCACCAGGTACATATATTCTAAAGTCATATGTATCTTTTATTTTGGCATGGCATCTGAAAATCCACACAGATTTTGTTTTTCTTTTTAAGTGAAGTGAGAGCCAACTTTGCAATTGACTTCAACAATGATGAGCCATGCTGGCTTTTAGCACATTTGCTTCCAGCTGAACCCCAGGAGTTCTTTGTTTGGGGTTCCATAGTGTGTGGTTTCAAACTGAAAATTAAAGTCCCCTTCCATGCAGACAGATGCAACACAGAGGAATCGGAGCTGGGAAGCTCTTCAGGGCCCAGGTGTGAAGGGCCTGTGTGTCCCTCCTATCGTCCCCACAGCTGAGCGATGCCCACGAGTGAGACTACAGGCCCAAGATGGAGATGAGGGGTGAGGGTGGCATGGTGTGGGACCAGCTTCTCATCCCTGTTCATTGGCCATGGCTAAAACTCTAGGGCTATGCCATATATGAGGTGAGAAACGAGAAACCAATCAGAAGAAAAGTTGGAACCACTGGAACATCCTGAGTGTTCTAGAATTAACCCAGGTGAGAGAACTCCAAAAGCACATCCTTAGGGTGAAAGTGGGATTACTTATGAGGATAAGAAGTGCACTAGCCTGTCACTGGCAGCTCACGCCTATCATCAGCTACTCAGGAGGCTGAGATCTGAGGATCTCAGTTCCAAGCTAGTCTGGGCAGAAAAGTCCCCATTGACTAAAAAACCAGAAGTGGCACTGTGGTTCAAGTGATAGAGGGTTAGCCTTGAGTACAAGGAGGTTCAAGGACAGCTCCCAGGCTCTGAGTTCAAGCCCCACAACCAACAAGAAAAAAAAAAGAGAACACTATAATTTTCAATCACTCAACAATTACTGCAACAAGTTATAAATCAGTGATTCACTCTACAAAGAGTTATCAAAAGCTTCTCACATAGCCAGATGCCTGTGGCTCGTGCCTATGATTTTAGCTACTCAAGAGGCTGAGATCTGAGGATTGTTGTTTTAAGCTAGCCTGGGCAGGAAAGTCTATAAGACTCTTGTCTCCAATCAACTAGCAAGAAGGTGGGGGTAGAGCTATGGCTGTAGTGGTAGAGAACTAACCTTGAGCAAAAAAGCTAAAGCTCGGCACCCAGGCCCTGAGTTCAAGCCCCAGTACTGGCCAGGAAAAAGTATATTCACACACTGAATAGCAAGTTCTCTAACTTTTTAATAAGTTTTTTTTTTAATTGTGAAAATACCATACAGAGGGGTTACAATTACATGAGCAAGGTAATGAGTACATTTCTTATCAAGCATTGTTGCCTCCTCCTTTGTTTTTCCCCTACCATCCCTGCCCTTCCATCTCCGTGACTACGGAACCCCCCCACCCCACACACACAAAGTTGTAAAGTTTCGTTTTTCAACATAGGATTTTGTACATCTCATTGTTGCAATGCGTCAACCTGAATCCTTACTTAAACAATTTGTTTTTTTCCCCTTCCCCTCCCCAAATTCTACCAACATCAAATACAGTGAAAACAGGGGCTATAGCATGGGGGAGGGACATATAAAGCAACAAAACAATCACCTTATAAATATGTTAGAAACAATAGCAAGAAAGAAAAAAACTACGTGTGTCCTTTTTGAAACAATTTTTCCCCAAAAAAATACTTTATCAGTTTCTTAACCAAGAGTTTCCAAGACTCAAGTTCAACTTCTTGGCCTCTTAGACCCTCTTGTCCTTCAATCTCCTCTCCTGAACTTATTCCCACACTGTTTCAAAATCTTACTCCCAGAAAAGTCTATATGAAAACAAACCAAATGCCTGTTAAGCAATACAAGTATACTGAATGAACTAGATAGTTGGTGAAAGCAATAGAAGTCAAATGCCACAAAGGCCCACTTGAATATCCCTGATCAAGCTGAGGTTCTGGAAAGCCTTTGAACAAAAGTGATGGATACATGAAAACTCAAGTGTCGGGCTGAGAATGTGGCTTAGTGGTAGAGTGCTTACCTAGCATTCATGAAGCCCTGGGTTCAATATCTCAGAACCACATAAACAGAAAAAGCTGGAACTGGTATTGTGATTCAAGTGGTAGAACACTAGCCTTGAGCACAGAGAGGCCCAGGGACAGAGCCCAGGCCCTGAGTTCAAGTCCTAGGACTGGCAAAAAAAAGAAAAGAAAAGATAAAAGAAAACTCGAGAGTCTTACCCAGCTCCACGTCTTGGTCATCAGTAAGCACAAGAATAATGTTGGGTCTGATGTTTTTTCTCTCCTGTTGTATTCTTCCTCTGAATCTTGGGGACCGAACAGTCGAACACAGGATCCCCAGCATTTCTGTGCCCAGGACAGCCAACACCAGTACACAGCAAGAATACTTCATGTCTCAAAACGGACACCAATGACTCAATCACTCGAGTTTTAAAAGTTGGGGCTGTCAAGAGAAAAAAATGTAACTTAAACTTCAAACACAGTTGCAGAAAAAGGGCTACCAGGAATAAATCCAAAATGATCTATCCAGTGGCAGAGAGAACCCTCATAGCACTGGGGAGATTTTAAGCACTTGACTGCTTCACAAAATCACCTTCCTCCATTGTTCTGGGTCCAACTCTTTCTATTTCAAGCCATTGCCAAAGTAAAATTTGCAGCACAAGGCTCAATCATAAAAGCTTTTTGACAAGACTTAATACCTTGAATTAGGTATCCTGGCTGAATAATCAATTTCTACACCCAGAAGTATTCAGAACATCTGCAGATGGAGTCCTAGAAAGGGGAAAGGAAAAAAACATACAAAGGAAACATCAGTTAAGGGTTTCCAAGTAGACTTTGATCTGAAGTAGTCTCTTGAACCTGCAAATGATATGTATACATACTATATATTTCTTTCTTCTCTTCTCCAAAAAGGACAAAAGTAAACATACAGAACTGCCTAATAAATGGTTCAAAGAACATCTCCATTTCCCAAGGAGCTCCCATACACAGCTGTGAACATCTCACTCCTGTTTATACTCTAACAATACTTGCTACATCTTCAACAAAACTAATGATTGATGAGGAAGAGTCAGTCATGCCCCAAAGACCACACAGTGCCCCGGAAGAATGTGTCTGCATGTGGGAAGCATGAACTCACCCACATGCCATACCAGGTACCTAGCAAACAGAATGCAATGCAAACCTATTGTGTGTCAGCTGCATTATGTCACTAGACTTCGTAATGGCTGACTGGCAGGACAACCTTTCCTAGTTCCCCCAAAGCTCCTGGCTCTCCTCTATCAACTTACAGGGAGGAAAGGAGCTTCCCCTGGGCAAGGCTGGCCCTTCTCTCCAGCACTTGGCTTTCCTGATGGTGCCTAAGTGGACAGAGCCCTCCCCCAACTCCACAGTTAGCCAACAGCTGTACTGTCAGGGCCAGACTGGCACAGCCAGCACAGGGATTTGTTTTACAGCCACAGATTTAGACCTGCACCGCAAGATGACTGACTGGCTCAGAGACTGAGGTTAGTGGCTACCCTTCCAGATAGGAGAAGGAGAAAGAGAAGGAAGAAGAAGAGGAGGCAGAGGAGGAAATCTAGAGAGGAGAGCTTGCAAAAATCTTTGCTGAATTTCTTCACAGAGTAGGCCTTTAGAAAGAGCTAGAAAAAAACAAGTATGTGCCTCCACTTTGGAACATTCAGCCACAGAAAGCTTTTCTCTTGAATTTCTGAAAGGGAGCATTCAAAAGAAGTATCTTCTTTGGCTATGCCATGTGGGAAGCTCTTTATGGGAATATAGGCTACTCTCAAACTAATTAGATAGTAGCCTGCTCCATCAGCCTCTCTGTCCCCTCACACCTGGGGATCGGTATTTTGATCTGCAGTCATAAACTGTCATAAGACAAATAAGCTTAACTAATTAAGCATAAGCATCACCTAGCAGAGGTAGGAGTTCCCGCATCCATCACCAGGTACTGAATTCTGAAGAGAGTCAAGGGACAGTGAAAGAGGAGAGAATAGGCACTGTTTACCCCTGACTTGAGCATTATTTTGTTTCAGGCAACACACACACACACACACACACACACACACACACACACACACACACACACACACACACACACACACCTATTATTTTAAAACCTTCTAAACTGTTTTGTAAACTGTTCTGACATTTTTCACTCTGCAGCCTATAATTACATTGTGTGTGTGAATGCCAGAGAGAAATAGAGAGACAGATAGAGACAGAAAGAGACAAAGACAGAGAGACAGAAACAGAAACAGAGACAGAAGAGAGGGAGTGGAGAAAGAGAGGGAAAAGGAAAGGTTTCTAAATAAAAACCTGGTATCTGTGAACAGGCAGTCCTGGCTACAAACCAGGCAATTCTACCTGATCCCACAGCTCAAGTCCACAGGCATGATTCCATGTATTTCCTTAATGACCCAGGGTTATTCCAACAATCGCTGTGCATGCTGGACCCAGAAATCCTGTGATTATGTTGCCCTGTGGCTGTGACTGGCTTTTGTGCACTTGTTTTAAACCATGAGAAATATGATACAGGCACCAATCAGGAAAATGAGAAATGAGATGTCCAATAATGGCTTGTTCCCACACTGTGGGCCAGGCTTAATTGTTAAACGTAGACATTACTTAGAGGATTTCATCTTTTAAGTAGCAAAACACATCTCATCTCTCAGAGCCTAAAGGGTGTGGGAGGAAAGAGGGAAGAGGACATGTTTTCTTTGGCTGTATCAATCAACCCACCTCTGCTGACAATGGCCCTTGGGAAAGGATAGTCCACTCACTGCACTGAGTGAACAGTGACACTGGGTTTAAATAATCCTCCACACAAAAAGGAAAGTCCTTGACAACTAAGATGCTGATAAGAGTCCCTGGAACCCAATCCACATGACTAGTTATTCTTTTCTTTATCTTGCTTCCTTTACTTCTTCCTTTAGGAAAAAGAAAATTCACTTTTAAAAGCACCTTGCATAAACTACACCAGAAATCATTTCCTCATAAAGAAAAGGGAGAATGAAGATGGAGTTTTAACCTCTTCAGTGACTTCTTCTTCTGGCTAACTAAAGGGACAAGAGAAACTTTTATTCTTTAATTCTTGCCACATTTTATCTTATTTTCTTCTTTTACTTAACTGTTTTTTTAAATTGACTAACAATTGTATATGTTTGTGGAGCACAATGTAACACTTTAGCATATGGTTCACTGTAGAATCATAAAAAGAGATTAGCCTATCTTTGTCATTTTCTTGATAGAATATTTAAAAAGAATTCTTGGACTTGGGGCATGGCTCAAGTGGCTTGCTAGGCGAGCTCACACCCTGAGTTTAATCCCAAGTACTTGCAGGAAAAAAAAATTCTTAGCAATTTTGAAACCGACCATACATTATTATTAACTGTGGTCACCTTTGCTATACAAGCAATCTTGAAATGTTAGTCCTCTTGTCTAACTAGGATTTTGTATGCTTTGGCCATCATATTTTCCCCCTGCCTGGGGAAATTCGTATCCAAAAGAGAACTCATATCCAAAAGCATAGTCATTCAGTGCTTAAAAATTTTTTGAGCTCTCTCTTGCCCAATCTTTTGTCCTATATCCTCCTTCCCTAAAACACAGAGAGCATCCTACACTAAAAACACTGCATAGGGCTGGAGGTATAGTTCAATGATAGAGTGTTTGTTTAGTTTGTGTAGGGCCCAGGGTTCCATACCCAGTTCTAAACACACACACACACACACACACACACACACACACACACACACACACACACACACACACACACACACATTCAGACAGACAGAGCATTGCACACAGACAATTCTTCATTCAAAAATGACCTTTTAGGATCTGTCATCCTCTTGCTCCCTGTTTTCCAGCTCCAGAAGGAAAAGAAGCACAGAAGGAAAAAAAGAAAAGAAAAGAAAGGCTGACAGGCAAAATACAGGACTTGACAGAAGAGACAAGGATGCGACATCTGAATTGGATAGTTTGTGGTGGACGACAAGTGTCCTTAGAGACTTAACAATTTGTCTTGAGAAGTAGTAACAAATGAGAGAAATGTAAAAAGGGGTTTCTCACACATGGAAACTGAGCTTGGAATGGTGCTAGGACCAGAATACAAGTTGCCTTTTCTTTAAGCCATAGATGAAAAGCCCAGTTGTCGTGATGGTCAAGTGGTGTGGAAAGTTTTCAGGCCTTTGTTTAGGACATTCAATCCAAACTATACATATGGCATTTTGTTCAAAATCACACAGAAAGCAAAAGAAAAGAAGATCACAAAGACGTCAAGCCAGCTGGAGGGAGGCAGAGAAACACAGCCTTCCCTAGCAATGCATTTAGCTACATTAGAGCTCTAGCCTTCCCAAGAGATTTTGGAGAAAATGATGTTACCAAGCCCCCTTTGTACAGGAATCAGATGCTGAGGCCTTCTGTGGAGATGGTGGCCAGGTTGATGATGTAGATCAGTGGTAGAGCATTTATTCATCCTCTGTGAGTTCCTGTGTTCCATCCCAGAATTACTAAATTAAATTAAACTAAAAAAGGATGGTGGCCAATGTCAAATTTCTTTTGTCTACAAAGGAAATTTTCAATGTAGATTGAGAATTTAATTTCTTAATTTTTTTTTCTTTTGCTGCTCCTGGGGTTTGAACTTAGAGCCTAGCACTGCCTTTGAGCCTCTTTGTACTCAGAGCTAGTACTCTACCATTTGAGTCACAGCACCACTTCCAGCCTTTATTGAGTACCTTATTGGAGATAAGAGTCTCACAGACTTTTCTGCCCAGTCTGGCTTTAAACCTTAATCCTCATCTCAGCCTCCTAAGATTACAGGCATGATTACAGATCTAAGCCATGGGTGCCTGGCTTAGACTGGAAATTTTGAGGGACTTTGACCCTTGTCAGGTGTCCATGAAGTTGAGACTATTTTGAAAAGAATATGGATACACAAATAGTTCTTTTTTTTAAACTTTGTTGGTGTTTGTACTTGTAGATCAACAGTTTAGACAACTGCTTAAATTTTTTTAAACCTGTTTTACAGTTTAAAATGCTACCTTCACTTAAAAAACAGCAAAAGGTTGAATTTATTGAGTATATGACTTGGGTTTGCAATGTTGTGTCTGATGGCTTAGGAGGCAAACACATTCCCTGACTGCCTTGGGAGGTAAATAAATGGTTATCATCTGCTGTAGGTGCCTGAGCTGACAGCTCAATTAGCCAGCATATCTTTACCAACACCAGTTCTTACTTAAAAGAATTATTTATATTTAGACCTTTTGTGCAAGAATTTTCTCAAATAATGAATGAAATGATCCTATAATTCCAAAGGAAACGGCTGACAGTATTTATTACCAATGACAGAAACCTAGCAGTAATCTGTAAAATTAAAACCAGAAGTTTAGAAAATGTAGATTCGAGAACTCAGGGTGTGGTTCAGGGGTAGAGCGCCTGCCTAGCAAATGTAAGGTCCTATGTTTCAACTGCAGTATAGGAAAGAAAAGACAACAAACAAACAAACACAAACAAACAGTGTATTCACCATACCAAGCTTGACAATTTCCTAAATGTAAAGCTCTTTTTGATAATCTTACTGATAAAATTAATACATGTTTGTGTATGATACCAGCACTTATACTAATGGTATAATTCAGTGATCCAATATTCCAAATGATTTAAATGCTACAAGATAACACATTAAAAAAATCATTCAAAGCACAAGATAACCACTGGATTTTGAGTAAGGACAATTCATTGATGTGGTTTTACATTCCTTACTAT